AGCTGACTCTGGATTACAGTGTCGTCTGATAGGCTAGCATCTTTGATTTCCACTAAAGTCATCATGAAGAATTACAGGGGCGTGGGATTGAAAATGTTGGACATTTGTTATAGAGACCTAAGTAAGGTCTTGGAAGTTTAAGTTGGATTCTTAAATTTTTATTTTTATTTTATGTGCATGAGTGTTTTCCCTGCATGCATGTGTAAGTGTACCTATGCATACATTACCCACAGAAGCCAGAAGAGAGCCCTGGATCCCCTGGAACTGGAGTTGAAGACAGTTAGCCATCATGTGAGTGCTGGGAGCCAAACCTGATTCCTCAAAGTGCTCTTAACTGCTGAGCCATCTCTCTAGCCTCTTGCAGGTTTAAGTTTAATGGAACACAGCTGGCACCAATAACTGAAGGACCAGTGTCGGGGATCTAAGAGTGGAAGCCTAAGGAGTAACTGGAAGGCAAACCAAAGACAAAAACAAGTTCAGAAAAGCTTTTCAAAGTTAAGCTGGCATGCTACCATGCAAACACCTCTCAGGGAGTATCCAGTGCAAGGTTAGACTCAGCAGGAAGGGGGTGACCACCGTGTTAACTCCCTCCACCATAGAAAAAAAAGCAGTGATATGGGAGATTTTCCCAGCGTAGTGTAGTAGAAATACATGAGAAATCAGGGAAGAATTTTTTAACAAACAACTCTGCCAGAAGACAGCTGCAAAAGGACTCCAAGAATTGCCCCTGTTGCAGAGCCACACCATGTTGGGTGGCATGTAAATGTAGAGCATTTGTTGGTGACCATCTGTCTAATTTAGTAAAGCCTTTGATGCTGGCTGAGTCTCATTATTGTCTAAATGGCCCTGGGCTATTCAGTGAAGCAGTAGGCAAAGGTCTGACTGCCCCCTATAAGGCCTGTCAACTGAAGAATGCCTATGACTTACAGTGTGGGGTGCACAAGGTAAATGTCCTTGGCTCCCCACATAGCAATCAGTTTGAGCTGTCATAACAAAGTGCCCTTGCCTGAGAAGTTTCTCCTTGTGGTGACAGGGATGGAAGCCAGGGCCTTGTGTGTTAGGTAAGCACTCTACTACTGAGCTACATCCCTAGTCCACCTAGGTGGCTTAAAAATATATGTTCTTGAAGTTCTGGAGGCTGCATGTCCATGATAAAGGTGTGGGCAGGACTGGCTTCTCATGACATCTCTCTATTTGGCTTGCTGATGGCTACCTCTGGCTATGTCTTCATGTGACCTTTCTCTAGGTGCAAATTCCTCTTATAAGAACTTCAATCAGCCCCGCCCAGCCCCAATTCAACATAATTAACCTCTTTAAAGACTTTGTCTCCAGAGTCACATTCTGAGGTTAAGACTTCAGTGAGGGACATTTTAGATTGTAGGTAACGGACACATTATTCAGCCCAGACCATCAGCTTTCCACACAAAAGTTTAAGAGCGGTCAGACATTTTCTCGAGTTCATTTCTAGGGATGTTGCTGAGATGATACCAATCAAAATGTTTATACAATGTCCAAACCAGTTTGTTTTAGCCCTGGAGGATTATCTCTAATTTCAAAGTAACCTGTTAGAGATAAAAGAAAACATTGCATATTCTGCCTTTCCTCTGTTCCAGAAAGGACAGAAGGGAGGGAACTCACAGAATAATGACCTGAAGTCCAGTGTGAAGCTCTTACACACTGCCACCTCCTGGCTTCTCAGCTGGACTGTGCATGCCATGTGGCCTCCTAGTGACCAAACACACATGGACAGTGTGTGTCCTTGAGATGTGATGGGAATGGGTTGTTAAAGAACAGTTTTTCAAACCAGAGGAGTTCTCTGGGACTTGCCAAAGTTAATTTGGCTCCCAGTGAACTGGCTCAGCAAACTTACCTAAGTCACTCCATTTTGTTCAGAGCCATTTTAGCAGCAACTTTGCTCCACACCAAAAGGAAAAGGGGGGTAACCTTGGGTCTTGGGAAATTGTCCTAGTCATGAATCATGGAATGTGCTGATTCCAGACATTTTACATACCAGCTTGTTTTCGCTTCTGTAATCCGCTTGCTATTTTGGGTCACCTTGACACAAAGTATGAGACCACCCTGTTATTGTGTGACCACCCGGTAACTGCTGATTTCAGCTTTCTTACTATACTTATTACGGCTAGGAAGTTGACTAATTTTAAAATTACAAAGTTGATTGCCAAGTTATATGACTGTATCACTTATCTGTATAGTGATTGGTTGTTGATTGATAGATTCAAAGTTCTGCTATGTTGTACAAACCTGATTGGTTCACAAGTGTCCTGTTTGAATGATGTTTCTGTAATCCTATAAAAACTCTGACCCGACAATCATCAGAGCTGCTTCTACTCCCGAGATAGACAGCCCGACCGGTCGAAAAATAAAATTTACCTTGCTACTTTTCTTAAAGTGGTGTTGGTGATTTTTTTGTGAACTCCATCCTGTAACACCCAGGACCTTTGAAAGTGGCAATCTGTGGATTGGAGCCTGGGCAATGCTGGGGGAAAGAGCTGTTATTCAGTTTCTAAGATTTATTTATTAGTTTATGATGTGACCAGCAATATGCTAATCTCTAGTGGCTAAGTTGGTGCATGAATGAGCAGCTTTTTTTTTTTTTTTTTTTTTTTTTTTTTTTGGTGCTGGGGATAGAATCCAGGGTTCAACACAGGCTAAGCAGGAGCTCTACTACAGCCACTGCCCTTTATCACTAGTAGTAAATACATGGATATGAAGTACCTGTTTATTAACTCAGATAATGGTTACAAAGGCCATTCTATACTTGAAGTAAGAAAAATGCTATTTGAAAGATACATAGCAGTATGAAGCCAGTGTTTGGGGGAAATCTGGCAGCTCTGATCTTTGTGCCTTCAAAAACAATAATAGTTTGCCTTAAGTGATTTGTCAGTTAAATAAGGACGTTATCAAGTCTTTCCTGCAGATGGACTGAGATCTGTAATAAAAGTTTAAAGTCATAATTGAGCTTCCAGATTGGGTCACAGTCCAGGGAGGTTGGAGAGGGGTGTCAGAAAAGGGGAGCTAGAAAAATGCTTCATACGAATGACCTTTACAATATGGGCAAATGACTTTTACTTAAGCTTACAACCAAAAAGTTAACCTTAGCTTGTTTATAATGTAGACAAGCTCACTGAGCCATGTGCTCCTCTTGTGACCTTGGCATGTGCCCTTCATCCCTCATGACCCTTCCTTGTCCTCAATCTAGGTCAGTATTGAGATCCAAGAAAAGGCAAAAATTCTTCTCTGATCAGGGTCCAACTTTTACTGCCCCATTTCATGCTGGATATGGTGTTTCAATAAAAGAGTGAGCCCTATTTCAAGAGCACAGTTCTGAGAGAATTCTGAAGGAACAGATTTTCAGCAATTCAGGCCTGTTCTTGTCTTAAAATGGATTCTAAAGGTTAGCCTTTTTAATTTAAACATCACCTTAATGTGGCATCACATGGTAAACACCACAGATGTCAAAGCAGTATCTTATCAGCTCCTAGTTTTGATCTCTAATAAAAATTAACAATCCAACATATAAAATTATTTTTAAATTTTTTAAATTTCGTGTGTGTGTGTGTGTGTATGTGTGGTCAAAGGACTATGAGAAGTGGGTCCTCTCCTTCCACTGTATGCTCTAGGGATCACTCAGGTCATCAGGCTTATTGAGACACACCTGCAGAGACATCTTGCTGGCCCACATTTCACTTATAAAAGGAATATTCAGAGTGATCTCAAGTGTTTTCAGAAGCTCAGCACTCTGTATTTAACATTATGAAAAATACAAAAATCAAATTAAAGAAAGTGCCTTTTAGTTGCTCCTTGCTGACCTTCCCCTTTTCTGTGCCATAGAAGGAGGAGGAGTTGCATGAGGCAGACTGCCTAAAACTGTCCCCAAAACTGCCCTCCTAGTTCCTTCCCAACTTGGTCCCCTGCCACAGGACGGTTAACATTTCTCCACAGGTGTTTCAGCATACAATGCTCACAAAAACTAAAAAGGTTTACTGCCATCATTAGGTTAACTTAGAAAACGTAAACGTGTGCTATCAGTGTTCTTACACAAACACCCAGTGTCCCCTGACAAGTGGCACTACAGAATAATTTTATAAAAAGGCAGGCCAGGCGTGGGGGTGAACGCCTTTAATCCCGCGCTTGGGAGGCAGAGGTTGGGGGATCTCTGTGAGACAGAGATTAGCCTGGTCTCAATAGAGAGTTCGTTCCAGGTCATCTGTGGTTACAGGGAGACCCTGTCTCAAAAAGACTAAATAAATAAAGTCGGCAGAAGGACTGATTTTTGCACACCAGCACTCACTCAGGAAGCGTCTGGCAGTTGCATTTTCATGGTTAGCCAGCGTTGACTAGATTTCAGAGGCCATTCCTCACTACAGAAAGCCCGCTCACAATGACAGTTCAGGCTCCAAACAAGTTTTGACTTTAAACAGTTTATGAAACACAGTGACTGTCAAGGCGTCTGGCTGGCAGCTGGAGTGAAAGCTTGTTTGCACCCCAACACAGCTGCGTGCTCCCACACAGATGGGACTTGGGGTTTGTGCGCGCCGCTAGAATGAGCGCGAGGCGAACCTCCGGCAGCCATCAGCTCACCACCGCGAGGGGCACCCTACCAGGACCCCGTCCCTCCCTTTGCCAGTGCAGCAGGAGCGGCGGTGGCAGCCGCGGTGCGGCACTGGGAGGGCGGGGCTACGGGCGGGTCGGCGTCCCTGAGAGGGCAGGGACAAAACACGGCAGTGGTAGGATTTCAGTTGAAAACGTACCAGGCTTAGGGTGGGCGTGGCTTCACGCGAGTGGGCGTGGTGAGGCGTGGAGAGGGCGGAGCTATCTTGACGTCAGACAGGAGGCGGGGCATAAACGTGAGGCAGGGCGCGGGGTGTGTGGCGCGTGGCCCGGTGCGGGATAGGGAGGCGGGAACGAAAGGCGAAATGGGCGGGGCGATGGGGGGGCTGGGCGCGGGGCGGGGCTGAGGGCAGGGGCGGGGCGCCAGACGCGGCTACTGAGGCCCTTGTCCCCGGCAGCCTTTCCTGCGACCCGCAGTCAGGCACGCGGTGGAGGAGGTGCGGCTTGGCGGGAACGCGGGGAGGGCGTGCAGCCTGCTGTCCTGGCGGTGGGAGCGGGTGGGAGCCTGAGTCCTGCCCCGGCAGTGGAGCGGAGCAGAAGGTGGCGGGGCCCGGCGGGGCCGCGATGAAGCCCGGCAGCGAAGACGAGGCGGTGCGGGGCGCCGGCCCTTGGGAGGAGTGCTTCGAGGCAGCGGTGCAGCTGGCGCTGCGGGCGGGACAGGTGAGCGCGGTGGCCGCAGCCAGCCCACTCGGAACTGAAGTGCGGGCGGAAGGCGGGCGGCGCGTGGGTGGGAGCCGGGCGAGCGGGCTGCGCGTGGGCACCTAGGGCCCTGCTTCCGCCGTTGAGTGGCTAACTGCAGGTTACTTGACCTTGAGAGAGTCAACTGGAATATAAAAGCCCCTCCGGGGCTAGAATCCCGCAGCTGTTGAGTTTTGAGGCTCTTTGACTTGCTCCAGCAGCCGGGTTGTGGGTGCCCCCCCTCACTCCCCCAGTGTCTACCCCAGGCGCGAGCAGATCTGACCCGGTTGCGGCTGACTGTCCTCCTCGAGGCATCCTGAGCCCAGATTGTGCCTGGATAGACTCTCAGTCCGAGTGGCTCTGGACAGTGACTGACCCAGAGGGGTGTTCAGGGGGAGCTGGTTAGGCTGCCGGAAGGATCGAAATCTATGGGCAGAGCTGAAGAAAACCAGACTGGGTTTGAACATTAAGTGCGACTCCTCACTTTTCCCTTTTTCAATTTTTTGTTTGTTCCCTAACTGTTCAACAACAGTCTCTTCAAGTAGTGCAGGTACAGAATTGGTGGGGAGCATATTCGTGGCTTTGCTTCTTAGGTTGTGCTCTTGTGACTTGGGGACAGGAGGAGTGCTGTGGACAGATTGGCTTAAATCCGAAAGCATGGTCGGTTTTTTTGTTGTTGTTTTTTTTTAAGTCTGAAAATACTCTAAAAGGGATGCATGAATTTAAGTGTTGCTACAGTGCTGGGGATGTAGCTCAGTGGTATAGTGGTGGCCAGCTTGAGAAAAGCCACCCCCAACATAGCAACGACCACAAGAACAAATGCTTTAAAACTACCCTGTGTGTGGTTCGGGAAAAAGGACCCAGTCCTCCTCAGTTGATGAAGCTTGTAGCTTAAGGTAAACATTCTTCCTGGAAAGTAGATCCTCTGTGAGTCGGAATTCATAGCCCACCGGTTCAGGTCCTCGGTTCTGCTTCAGAGAGAGCATCGTCAAGGTACTTAGAAACTTTTAGGGTCCACTATAAAACCTTTCTTACTGGAGACTTTGAGAAGCTAGTTTAGTATCCAGACACTGCTGTGTAAAGGCTGCTGAATGAAGTTACAGGTTTCTGTGGTTTTTCAAATTTAGGACTTTGAAGAAAGAGAGCATTAAATAATTTTTATTATTCAACAAATGCCAGTCAGAAGCTCACAGTGCCACAGGCACAGTTCTTAGGGTCCTATGCATTTTAACTTAAGAGATTATGTTTTTGCAGCTTGCCGACAATAAAGTTTTTATTTTTTTTAAGAGAGTGAAATAAAGATTCTGCCATTAGGAAACAGGTCAAAAAGCCCCCGACTCTGGGCTCCCTCTTGGGAATTTTGTGGCTTCCTGCCTACCTGGCATGGAGGGAAAGACTAAGAGATACAGAAGGCACACAAAGTCATAGTAACCTGTGAGGAGAGGGAAGGACTGTCTAGGTGATGTTCTGCAGTGGTGCTGACTGGAGCAAACAGCCCTTAGTCAGGCAGCCCAGTGAGGGATGAAAGACAGTAGCTGATGACCTTTGAGCCCTCCTTAGCTAAAGGCCCCAAATGCCCACCCTCCCACCTGTGTCAATGTTCTGCTGTTTTGCTGTGGGCTAGTCTCAGTTAATCCTGAAGCTGAGGGTCTGGGTGCTGAGTGTAAAAGGTGGGAGTCCCAAGGGGAAGGACCTCCAAGAGAAATGGCTGGTGCCTCTGGGCTGGCAGATTACACCATCTGCCCCTGAGGTCCCTTTGCCCCATCGAGAGAGGGCTTCCTGTACCCATATGCCACCTTGCTGCACTGTCTCCTTGCTCTCTCCCTTGCCTCCCTCATTTGCTACCCATTTATTCTTGAGCCTGTTGGAGCCATCCCCACCCTCACATGCTGAAGAGGCCTCCTTCTCCCTGGCTTGTACCATAAGCTTTATCACTCCCCCCCAGGAATGGACCTACAGTGAGCAGTCTTTAATAAACCATTACTGAATTAAAATGAGCTACAAAAGTACTTTTAGAGTAAGAACAGTCATAACTATACATCTTAAGATGCAAACGAATACTGCAAATGTCACAAAGCATAAAAATAACTTATTTTCACTGCTTTTCAATCTTCTATAATACATTTTAAGTCTTCTTTGACTTCATACTTTGTGTCTTTGAATGACAATATTTAGCAAGGTGTGTGTGTGTGTGTGTGTGTGTGTGTGTGTTTACACACTTGTCTGCATGTGCATGCATGGTGCTGGGGACCCAAGCCAGGGCCTCTGGCATGCTAGGCACATACTCTATCACTGAGCCACACCCCCAGGCCTTTCAGTATCTTCTCTCTCCTTCCTTCCATTCATTTGTTCTTTCTTTCCTTTACTCCTTCTCTCCCCTTCCTTCTGACAGTTTCTCAATATGTAGCTTATGAGCCCCTTGGCTCATCCTCCCAAGCACTGAGATTATAGGTGCAGTGCACCATCATGCTGGCCCATTGTCCTGTTTTCCACAGGGGGAATAGAAAGGTAAACAGCCTTTGCTACTGCAAAGCTGATTGAAACTTACTACTAGTAGTTTAGAAGAATTACAGGTAGTGCAATAAATTTTTAGATACCATTAGACTGAGAACTTTCTATCAGTTTTCTTTGACATGTTAACTATATTTTATATATTAGTTGCAATGTGAGGAAACCTTGATTATAAGCTTGATTCCAGCTGTGCACAGTTGAAACCTCATTTCTTTCCATATCAGTACCCTTCTGGTGCCAGCCGTCCCACACAGGTGGACTCCTTTGTACCTGCATGTTGATGTCAGCCAGCTAGGTTAATCAGTGTGGTACACAGCAGGAGCATTTCCAGAAGCCATCTCTTTACAAAGTAGCCAGTAATAACTTACAGATGTGCCTGCACAGCCCATCAAACCTAAGTATGTCTGCTCAGCCTCCCTGTTGCTTAAATTGTCCATACCCACTTCGGTGCCAGCTGATGCCAGGTCTGAAAGAGGATTGATCATAGTGGAAAGGGACACGGTCAGATCTACAGTCAAAATAGCTGACTTCTGTCGACTTACAAAAGGTGGTCTGGTGGAGTTGAGGCTGTTTTTATTGTGGTTTTATATATATATTCACCTCTTTTGAGACTGTTTGAAAATGGTGGTGCTAAAACATTGATGAGCAATGTATTAACCAACCAAGTCTGTTGAGAAACTCAGGAACTTTAGCCTTTACTCTGAGTGTGATATGAGGCTCTGGGGGTGGAGTCCTACATTGTCCTCAACAGCCAGAGCCCACCTGGCAGCTGCATGCACCCTACAGCACTATATGGGGACCAGAGCTATCTGGTAGGCAAGAAGTGAGGGATCTGACTGGGCTGAGAAAATGGTGAAAAAGATTGATTTTGAAGGCTGAGGTGACAGGGTTTGAGTTTAATGTATGGTATGAGAGAAAATGGCACCAGGATGACAAGGATTTGAGCCTGAAAAACTGGTTGAATGGATTTGCCATGTTCCAAGATGGAGAGTCCACAGGTAGGTGCAGGTGGAAGTGTTCTGGGCTGGTGATGCTTGAACTGCTGGTGGATTTCTAAGCAGAGGGACTAACTGCACTGGATCAGAATTGCAGGAGAGGAAGGGTGATATGGATGTGGGGGTCCTCCAGCAGGCTGCTCCACTGGCTCCCCCAAGGATGCCAACCTCTCCGGCTCCTACTCTTCTCTTTGAGAAGATTCCCAAATGCCAGTGTGTGAGGTCTTCTGTCTGGTGACTTTTCTCCGGAAAGACTCTTCCACTCCTGCCTGGGCTGAGACACCTGCCACTAGAGGAAGTGAGGAGGTGGGTAGTGGTCTCATCATTTCTGCAGGCTCCTGGTCTGCCTTCAGTCCCTGTGTCACCTCTCCCTGTGCCCCAGTTTCTGTTTAGGTCGGTGGGATAGGGGTAAGCCTGTGTAAAAAACTCTGAAGCCGGACACGGTGGTGCACACCTTTAATCCCAGCACTTGGGAGGCAGAGGCAGGTGGATCTCTGAGTTCAAGGCTAGCCTGGTCTACATAATGAGTTCCAGGCCAGCTGGGGCTACAGGGAGACCCTGCCTCAAAAAGACCAAAAAAAAAAAAAAAAAACTCTGGAACTTCTGCCAGTGTTTAATCCTTACTCCCTCCCCTGCCCCAGTGCTGGGGACAAAACCCAGGGCTTCCGCAAGTACTTTGCCACTAATCCACACACTTAACCTTCATTTTTTGCCGGGGAGGGTTGAGGAGTGTTTTTGTTTATCTTTGAGGCAGGTTCTCATGTTGCCCAGGCTAGCCTCAAACTTCCTGTGTAACCACAAATGACCTTGAGCTCTTGATTTGCCTTCTAGATCCCAAGTACTGGAGTTATAGGCATGTACCACCATGCCTGGCACCATCCATCATTTAAAACATCAGTAAGGACAGCATTCCTGTGAAGCAACAGCTGGCAAGTTCTCCAAAGCGGTTGCCCTTGGGAGGGTACGCCCATTCTTCTATTGTGCAGGGCCCACTAGCCTGACCCCGCCTGAGGTGCCAACCATTGTTTTCCTCATAGAACATTATGAGACAAGTCATAGATTTCTTCTTCTCTTCTTGGCTTGGTTCTTTTAGAGACAGGATCTTACTATGTAGCCCAGGCAGGAGATTCTCCTTCTTACGTCTCCTGAGTGCTGTGCTACCGAGTACAGCTGTCAGTGTATTCAGACATTATTTTTCATCTTCCTCCTCGTTCTTCCCCTTCTGTTTCATTTCCTTTATTCCTAATTTTCTTTAAAATTAAAAAAATATTTTGTATGTGTGTATGTGTGTGTGTGTGTGTGTGTGTGTGTGTGTGTGTGTGTGTGGAGGCAGAGGTTGACAACTGACATTCCACCTTATTTTTCTAGATTGGGTCTCTTACTGAACCTGTAGCTCACTGTTTGAACTTGACTGGCTGGCCAGCAAGCCTCAGGGGTCCCCACCTTTGCCTCCCCAGGCCTGGGATCACAGGCACC